AATCTACCAGCTATAGGTGTGCATGCTATTTGTATAACAAAGGATGTTTACAACATTGGAAAGACAATTGGAATCTACCAGGTGTGCTTGTGATTTGCATAACAAAAGATGTTTACAACTTTGGAAGTTGAAAGGACAATTGGGATCTATTAGGTGTGCTTGTGATTTGCATAACAAAGGATGTTATGATCTCCTGACTTGCCTCCAACTTGCAAAAACACATTCTGATTGGCTCATATGGAAACCAAGGCTAGACTGAGAACAGTTTGGGTCCATTATTTCAACTGTGTGTTGCTGCTGCCATATTGTGAGAAAAGTGATACGTACAGGCTTCAACCATCACTATGAACTGCTCTGTGATCTCCTGCTATCAGCGGTGCTCTCCAGAATAACAGCGTTCCTCTGCAAGCAAGACCCCTGTATTTCTTCGTTGTTGTGTTGCAGAAGCATTAATTTCCATATCCTGGAACTGTGAGTTATCACCAATGCACACTTCCATGGGCAATAACAAAAAGCAGGCCTTACACTGTGACAATGTAAACATACTCCCCAAAGAGACGAATGAATAAACGAGCCTTGGCTGGCGAAGATGCTCTGGAAGCAACAGGGCAGAAGTGTTGATGTCATACTCTTAGGACACAGGATAAAACTATGAATATTTTATCACAAGAAAAGTTCTAGCAACTGGATGTTAAATTATTCGCTGCTACTTGTATGTAATTTTTTTACTTTACGTGAATATTTTAAATTTTACCAATTTATGAATTTATCTGATGATGTTTTATCTTACTGTAACATAGTACAATGTACCTTCGAATTCGTATGCCAAAGCACAGTCCCTCTATGGCCAAACATTTACAAGGATGACTGTTACTTGTTTCGCTCCAATTGTGTATGGGCCAAACTTCAAACAGGTTCCAAACAGGAATGATGTAGTGTACGAAAACTAATTATGTATGTATCAAAGATTCAACAACCCACCAGTCTACATACAGTTATATACAAACTCACCATCACTATTATTATTCTCTGATATCTCGATGATTTCTGGCCGATTTTAGAACGATCCTCGATCGTCCTATTAGTAGACGGACAGCACCGCTGTGTTTCTCACTGGTGTTTACACTTTGTCGATAGAGGGCGTGCTTATAACTTGTTGTCAGTACTCATAAAATAACAGCACATATTGGTACAGTTTGTATTCGACGTTAAATAAGACGCGTCCTGTGACGACACAGCGGGTCAACTCAACTTTGTCGCATCATGCAAATTCTTAGCTCACATAACATGAAACACAGCAATTAATTCTTAACAGATAGTTTCAATTACGTTACGGGTAATATGTCCGAACTATTGAACAAAATGGTATGTAAATAACAGTAAATAAAATGTTTGACAAAAATTATATGTATAAACTGCATTCTACACATATAATACAAGTGTGCGTGAAAATTATATGAAAGTTATTTGTATATAGCGTAATTGTAATGACAATTATTTATACAAAAATTGAGTATGCCGTTATTACGATTTGCAAATAATATTTTAATATTTATCATATAATTGAACAAATGAAAAATATTTATACATAATACAATATAATACAATTTCTTTATATATAATATAATGGAATCAAAATTGTTTACAAATAAGTAATGCATTCCATTTTATCATATACAAATAAACTTTGATTACTTAATATGTTATAATTTGTAATAATAATTTATTGTATGTGTATAATTGGGGATTATGTATTTATTACAATTAATTTTGTTTATTACAATAACTTGACAATTTCTTTATATATAATTTATTGGAAGGAAAATTGTATGATGTACATAATATGAAGAATCGTGTAATTATTACATATAATTTGCTTAAATCAATAAATATACAAACCCCATATGATGATGAAACTTAAAATAGAAAATTCCAGGGTTACACAACAATGATTTCTGTACCTACAAAGCAATGGAATTGTCCAT